TTTCTTGTACAGAGAGGAATGGAGAAGTTTGGAATTTGCATGCATGATCAGGACCTGTGTTTGGGAAAATGTAAACTCATCACAGTGGAAAATGTGTTGTTTGGAGTCTGAGGGTGAAAACAAAGCTGAGGATTTTGGAGAGACTGCCTGAGCCAGATGGCCTGGTGCATTCCCAGTCTGGCAGCCCAACTGCTCCCTCCTGTATAATATACAGCCATTTGTTCTGGGATATTTACGCTAGAGCTGTTTCCATGTGAATGTTTGAAAACCATTAAAAATGAACATATTAGGAGAGATAAATTTATTTAATTTGTGTGAATACGTCGATAAGCAGGCTGTGTATCAAAGGCAGAGGGAGAGTGGATAAAATAATTAGATGCTACTGAATTGTGCATTGAGAGACACAGCAAGAACTAACTGTCCTCGCCCTGGGACCCAGCGCTGTGCTCCTGGTCCGGGATAAACCTCACTGGGATGAGTCGAAAATTTGCTCGGGGAAGGGGTAAAACCTCGGGTAATTAAGGGTTAAGTATTCGAAGCCAAATAAATGTAATGCACAGTATTTTCTGTGTAGATATACAGCGGATACAAGCCTAATCCTCTCTGGGTGAAATTCTGGCCCATCTGAAGTCAATTGCAAAGCTCCTATTGAATTCGGTGGGGCCAGGATTTTATTTTCTCTCTGTGCGTATGGCTGTATACGTCATTACAAATCACTTTAGTTCTGTTTTTGAAAAGACCCTCATTCTAATGAGTTTTTCTTTCTCCTTTATTTCAATAAAGGAGATAGTTTGTTTTGTGAAACAGATGAGGGATTTGAAAGCGAGTAGATTTAGATGCATGTTGGTGATTTCTCCCCTTCTCTTAATCTTTTAAAATCAAGGCCATGATATAACTGAATAATATAACGACCATGATCTCATTCCTTTGAGACTGTTTCTCGTCCAGTTCGGAAAGCAGGATTGCTTGACTGGCAAACTGACACCACGAGACGATTCTGCCCTCAGTTGTACTAGCGTAAATCTGGATTTATTCAGGAATAGCTAAGGACGAAATCTGGCACTATATTTTTTCCAACTTATTCGTCAACTATTTTACTGCTTTATCCTGCCGTCTTTACCAGGGAAAAAGTGGATTAAATGAGAACTGTAGCCTTGACTTTTATATTACCCCCCTCCCTTTTATTTTACTTTTTTTTTTTTTATGATCTCCGTCACTGAAAAGTTTAGGCGAATTGTTGGATGCACTTGTCGTCCAGAAATGACTTATTACCCCCCCCTTTTATTTTACTTTTTTTTTTTTTATGATCTCCGTCACTGAAAAGTTTAGGCGAATTGTTGGATGCACTTGTCGTCCAGAAATGACTGCGATGTGCTCAATTTAGTAATTTTTATTTGCTGGCAAGCAGTGAATTGCATTTGATTTAACTTTTTATGCAGCTTTATTTAAATGGGAGTGAGGAAGTCTTATATTTTGACACTAATTTTTCGGGGCCGTTTGTGCATGAGTGATCGTTACTCATTGGGACTTCTTGTAGAAAGGTTCCTTGGGTGAGTAATGGCTTACAAAATGGAAGATGAATTTTGTGGGGAAATATTTAAGTTGTTCAGGAGAAGAAAAACTATTTTGAAACATTTATGAAATAACACCGAGTTAAAACTACATGAAGTAAACAAAAAGGAAAAAACCAAAGTCTATAATTTTGCGTTTCCTTTGCTGCTGTTTTGTTGTGCAACTCTGATGTGTATTTGCAGGCTTATTTTTAGCTCTGGTGTGGTCAAGTTTATACACTGTAACTTTCACTTTATCTCTCATTAATGTGATCCCTATTTGACAAAATCACGACGATGTTAGTGCGACAAGAAATCCTCCCGCAATCACCCTGTTTTAAAGCCTGAACTTTAAAAAATAATAATAATAAAAAATTAAGATGCGTTTGTTAAAAGAGTAGCTTTTCAAATCTTAAAGTTAAAAATTTTCACAACAGTAACATTGTAGACCCTTCCTGTAAAAATACTTCTGGCAGCTATAACGATCTGAAACTTTAGCAGTTCCTGTTTCCTTTTTGAAACTAATTGTAGAATTAATGCTTTAGAGCAGCGCCGTTTGCAAGACGGTAGAGTATCTGTAATGCTCTCGGGCAGCCATTCATGGAAGTAAACAGTTGGCGCTTTACACACCCGTTCACACACGTAAATTGGGACATAGGAATGGGAGCTGGGGATGAGTTGCTCAGAAATGAAGTCAGCAATTCCTCCTGCTTCCTAGAATTCCCTAGGAATTCCTGCGGGAATAGGCTATGCGGGAGTATCTGCGCTTAGCGGGGAGAAAACAAAATAGGCATGGGTACAACATCGGTAATTAAATGCACATCAAGTGAAAAGCAAGTCCTTACCGTAGAGGAAGGCAGAAGAATGTCATGCACGCAAAGAAGGGATCACTGATGCTAAACACTACAGACAAGGTGATTATGTACCGCAGTGTTGACTCTGCCCATTCATTATTGCTATTTAGTTGAGTTATTTAAGCGGGTACCTGGAGGTTAAGTAAGCATAGCAGCAGGAAGAGAAGAGGAAGAGAGAGGGGAGGGGAAAAAAAAGAAAGTAAATTTTGTGTTCTGGTTTGTCATTTCTAGTGCTTCCTTGACTTCACTGGCAACAAGATAACCCATACTGGGTAAATTTATTTTAAGATTTGAAAGTCTAAGAAGAATGAGCCAAGTCCAGCAGTTCTCTCTCAGGCACTATTCCCCTGTGTCGTGCTGTGATGTACAGAGGTGAATGGGGACTGGAGGTGTTTGTCTCCGCTAAAGGCCTCGGGAGTAGATCTGCTCTTTACCCCCCATGCTCTGCTCTCTCAGAGGCAGATTGTTCTTTGATTATGCATTGATTAAGTCCAAAAAGTGTTGCGAGCTTCCCCCTTGCCCGGCCTGTCCCACTGCCAGGTGGAACCTGATTTGGGGTTTCCTGGAGTCCGTGCAACGTCCCTGCTGACCGACCCCATCAGTTGTCAGCTGGTTACTTTGATTCCCTGGTTTTTTGCTGGAAGAAATTTCTCCCCGTCTTCCTCCTTAATGCATGGAAATGAGGATCTTCTGAATTCGTCCCAACTCCCGAGGTAACACATGGATGACTGTACTGCCATCTTCCAAGGCCTCTTGCAAACCACCTGTAGCTCTCTTGGGCACTGATGTGGAAGTACCTCGAGGTGTGGGCCAGCAACCGAGCAGGGACGTGGGGTCCCAGCTGGGGTCAGGGGCATTTGCTGGTGTCTGTGCTGCGTGGGCCCTGCATACGTCCTGAGACCACTTTTGTGTCCCCTTTATACGAGTGCTGGGTTCACAGGTTTTGTGCCTCACTGGTGGGAATGAGGGGGCAGAAGTCAGGTGAAACTCCGTACCTGTTAGTTGCAATGGCACCGTCGGCCTCCGTTTCATCTTAGCAAAAAAACCCCTCCCTGGCTCTCAGGTTTTAGGGGAATGCACACAGCAAAACCAAAACGAAAAAATTAAAACTAGCGAAGATAACAGCCCCATTCCTGATATATATAGAATCATTAAATAATTTTATAATGCATATTATTATTATTATTATTATTGCATATTACTATTAAAATGGTGTTAAAAATCAGCTCATGCTTCTTCAGATTTGTGTGTCCTGAGATCTGTGCCCCCTTTGCACGTACAACACCTCTTGCCCTTGGTGGGTTATATTTCTAAGGACTGGGAAAGCAGTTCATACGATCTTACTTCATCATATATTAAGATAACTTATTTTTTCCCAGTATTTTCCACACTTCCATTTCAAAGCGGTCTCATTCCACAAAAAGTATTTCATCCATATAGCATACTTTCGTTTTTTATTTTCAATATCTATTTTATCGTTAGCTTTAGGGATACCCATATCAGATGTCATTTTACTTGCAGAGTTTGTTCCCCAATTTCTTCTTTTTACGTCTGTATTTTAGAGGCTGGGAAGGGTGCACCGCAGGTCAAGGGCAGAGCTGATGCTCAGAAGCAGGAGTAGTCATGTCACCGCGGCTGGGGCTCTAACTATTGATCCCAGCTCCAGCGTGGCACCCTCAAAGATTTAGGAACCTCAGTGCTATCAAAAGATGCTGTTGCAAAGGCAACTCCTTTTCACTGGTTTTCCTGCTGGGGGGCTGGTGCCTGGGGCCCGGGGTGGTTAGAAAAGATAACTCTGTCCCGATCAGATGGAAACCCTGTGCTGAGCAGGCTGTGAGCGCTAACCTAGTCAGCGTGTAACACCGATCCCTCGCCGTCGCCGCTGGTTCTGCTGGTGGGAGGACTGCAAACACAGACTCTTCCTGAAATGCGAATACACTGTCTTTCCACAGTTTTAACTTAAAGGATTCTCCCCATGCTATTTCAGAGTCAAATTTCTCAAGCTGGTTGATCCTCTGTTTGCTTTGGTATCCTCTGCTCTGGTAGGGCCTGCCTCTCACTTATTTATATCCCTCTACCTCCAGAGCTGCTCTCCGGAAAGCGGTGGATCACGAGGTTCAAGGGGAGAATCGGGCCCAAGCGCTTTCTCAGGAGCTACAAGGAAAATGCCTGGGCTGTGCAGCTTTTGTAATTAAAAATACATGAGCTCTCTCTTTTCTGCCTTTTTTTTTTTTAATGAATAGGACACAAAGTATGCCAAGCCTTGCTGTTTTTTTTTCTTTTTTTTTTCTTTTAATGCTATTAGGTTTATATTTTATTCTGAATTGAAAAGAAAATTGTGGTTGTCTTGACTACTAAAAAAACCCATCCTACACACCGCTTGAGAGATGTGCAATGGAGAGGAGGGAATTTAGCTGTACTCAGCTTCTGTTGTTTTCCAGCTGCAAGTACTGGAGCAGGTTCGGTGGAGACGCGGTCTCTTTAGCCTGCGACTTGGCTTGCAACTCCGGCTGCGCCTTCGGTTACCGCGATGCATTTTTATTTTCTCCAAACTCAACTTGATGTACAGCTAAAAATGTGTTTTGTTTCTAGGCGATAGTATATGAAGGCCAAGACAAGAACCCAGAAATGTGCCGAGTTCTGCTCACGCATGAAATAATGTGCAGGTAAGAAATACCCCGCTTCCAGTTAATTAGTGATGAGAAGATGAATCTGTCTCTCAAAATCTAGGTTGAACTTGCAGCTATTTTCGGACTTAAATTTATCTTTCTTGCATTAAACAATCCCAAAATAACACAGTTCAATGTGTGTAATTAGCAGCAAGGTCTCAGTCGTCACACTAGTTTTCAATTATTTATAAAGAGTTATTCTTAACAGAATGCTATTTGTTTTCATTTAGACACCATAGCCCACAAAAGGTCTCCTCACCAAAATTAACAGTCAATTATAGTCTTCTAGCAATAAACCTCTCTGTCCCCAATTCCCAACAAAACCTCCTCAGTAAGATGACAAAATAGTAATTTGGGTTTTTTTTTTTCCTGGATGTGCATTAAGACTTGAAGTCAGGAGGCCTTTTTTGTCCCGGTTGCTGCTCATGCAAGGTCCCTGCTCGGCCGGAGTGGAGCAGGTGATACTCCTCCACACAAAAGATGTCTTGTTGATTTTCTTTAAAGTTCCCCTGCAGATTTGGCTCTGCCCTGTGCTCTCTTCCCCTGAACATGCCTGCCTGGGGCTGGTCACTTAAATTCGGGACAGTCAAATATCTTCTCTCCTGAACGTGGTACTTCTGCAGCTGCTTCCTTCTCTTTTCTGGCTGATTGAAATAGGTGAAGCCTCTTCTACTTCCTTTTTACCACAGAGACGGCAGCATCTTCCCACAAACCCCTCCGACACCTAGGAGAGCTTGACCTTGCAGTCTCATTAAAGTTAGCGGGTGTTTTTTGCATGTCTGAAAAAATCATTTGTTACATGTTATTCGATGGCAGAAAATAATTCCCTGGTGGAAGACGTGGCGTTCTTGCATAAGCTCATTGTTACAATCAGTTGTTTTAAGACTGTAAAAATGCCATTGCATGCATTATAACTTTTACAAAGCACATTTACTAAAAAGGAGTAACTTGAGGGTAAAAACTAGTACCCACTTCTAAGAGAATAAACTTGGATGAGGGTTTCCTGGTGGGGGAGAGTCTTAGACAAAATATTCAGATGGAAACTTCTCTGTTGGTTAATTTTTTAAATTTTTTTTTCATTCTTGGCGATTTGCATGTTTTGTCCTCCGCGGCAGCTCCTTGGTGATAAAAGCCTGCTGGAGGGCAGCGCCCTGCGATGCCGGCAGAGAAGGAGCTGCTCTCCTTGCTTTGCCAGCCTGGGCGAAACCCTGCGCAGCCCTCCAAATTCTTCCTTGCAGGATTTGGGGGATTTTAGTTTTCATGTCATATTTTTCTAGGCTGCTTTGTTCAATAGGTTTGGCTTCTTCCAGGAAACCAAAGACAACCCATTACAGCCTGGGAGCGATCAGAGCAGACGGGTATCTCCAAGAGGTGCCTGAGCTTCTGCTGCCGTTGGGAGCTACAGCACTGCTTTGCTGAGGAGTCCCGGCCAGTTCTCCCTTTCCAAATGTCAGCACCCAGTGCTGACAACTCGTAATTGCCCTAAAATTCATTGGCCCAATTAGCACCACTTTCACACTAGATACCTAGCTAGGAACAATTCATGGAAATATTAAAGGAGGCCCCTGACCTGATAAGGCTGAAGTGCGTGCTTTGCTTTTCTTCTGTAATAGACCAGTAAAACAGTGGGACTGTTCACGTGAGTAAAATTAAGCACATGCTCAAGTGCCTGCAGCGGCAGGGTCTGAATCTGTTGTTAGTCCTGGGTGATGTGCCCTCCTGATTCTTAAACGGCAAGGTTTTGAGGTAGGAGTTACATCGGCCTGCCACTCACTGAGCCATCCGTGCAAGAGTAAGAATCACCTACTTTAATGCATTAATTTTCTTACGAATATTTCAGAAACACAAAGAGTAAGAAGTAAATCGAAACTTTATATAGAGAGCCGAGTTTTAACCAGAAGACCAAATACCTGCATCAAAGATTTACGGCCGTTCAACATACTTTGACTGAGACAAAACTATTTTTGTTCTGGGAATGTGGAAAGATGTGCAGTCTTTCCCTTTATTAAAGCACTTTACACTTTCTTTGTGCTTAAAATTTTCTGGATCAGGAGCTTTATTCTCCTTCTATTTGTTTACTGCTAGTCCTTGCTTTGTGTTTCACAACCATAAGGGTAGCAAAAAAAAAATTATCTGACCATAGTAGGCAAATGTTGTGTGCCTGATGGGGTGGGGGAGGCATATTCAAATTTCTTACAGCTCATATTAGATATTACCCATTTCCTTTTCTGCCTATACATGTGTAAGAGGGTGCTGTTTGTTTACCAGGCTGCTTGACCCTATTGCACAAATCTGTCATCTATTGTGCTGCTAACACTCTTTTAAATTGCAAATCTGATGCTCTTTAGGGGTCTAGAAGGAAAAAAAAAAAAAATCTCTCTCCACACCATTCTGTTTCTCTTGATTTCTTGCCTGTTGTAAGTGGAAGTTGGGATGTGCTGAATTTGCACCAGGGGTGCAAATGCAGCCTCAATTATAAGCATAAAATTAGAGTCTGTTCCCCATTAATCAGCCCAGCTAATTGCTATGCACTACCATTAGCCATATGGTGTGAAAGACAGCTTGCTCTCCCTAAGATGAAATTTCTTCATTTCAGACATGAAATAGTGAGGGCTCTGTATTTTAAAATAGCTTGTTTTAGATATTTAATTTCTAAACAACTTTCAGCAGTGCTTTCTATCAAGGCTAACTGCACAATAAAACTTTGCATTTATGTGACAAAGCTGGGTATTTATAGTATACTACAACTATGGCACGGATAAGACAAAGAATTCAAATGTATAGGAGAGTCCTGGTTGTGGTAGAAAAGTGGGGCTGAGGTTTGCTTCAGGTGGCTGTTTATTTCAAAGGATTTAATTATGTTTTATCAAATATAAAAATCTACACTGTTGGCGAAAATGTTAATAGCTGGGGAGAATTCACAGCCTCAGTGGAATTTATTGGTATTGTAGGCAGCATGGGGAGGGACATCTATAGCTAATATTGCCTCAACAATTTCCATTATGAAACCTTCAGTGGCTTACAGCTTTGCCAAACTTAAACTGTTCTGGCTGAAATGTCCTTTGCAGGGTGTCAGCCTCAGGCTGACTTTCTTTGGAAAGTTTCAGCTAAAATGGTTCAGTGATTTCTGAGAATGAGGTTGGAGTAAAATACGGGTTTTGCCTGCGTAAAATAAAATCTTACAGCTGTTTTGGCGAGAAGCTCCCATACCTCCACGCTTTGGGGCGAGGATCCTGTTTGGGGCAGGGGTTGTCCCAGCCACATTGTCTGCGGGATGAAACCCACCTCGCTGGGAGCTTCTGCAAAATCTCCCACATGGACTCGCTAACGACTTGTTAGCGAGCCTGGCAGCTAAATGATCAGAAAGTCGCATTTGCGCTGGCCACATGCCATCGCCCCGTAATTTCTCATTGTTCATTGTGCCCGCAGAAAGCCCGAGCGCGGATACACAAAGCAGGGCTCCTCTCCTGAGTGATGCTCCTGGCCACCACGCTGGGGTGGGGACAGGGGGATTTGGGGGTGCCAGACATGGGGGTGAGGAGGCCATCTCCTGTGCGTCTGCGGCGGGGCTGGGCAGCGCGGGATAGAAATGCTCCAGTGCAGGGAAAGGAAGGGGAGGAGGAAGATATGGAGCAAGATGGCAGGAGGGCAGCAGGTCCCCAGAGGGTTGGGGTGAGGACAAAGGCAGCAACAAAAGCTGGGAGTGGTGGTGGCCAGGGGATGGGGAGGCCTGCAAAGGAGCAGGATGGGGATGACATGGGCACGAGCCCTGGGGATGGCGAGGATGGCAATAGGAGGGGGGGAAACCTGGGGTAGGCAGAGATGGGGTGCAGGAGCTGGAGGGGGTTGTAATGGCAGGACACTTCATTACTGTCAAGGACTACTTGTTTTAAAAACAACCAACCTACCAAACGAAGCAATTCTTTCAGTCTTTTTCTGTGGTGGCAGGACATCATTACTGTCAAGGACTACTTGTTTTAAAAACAACCAACCTACCAAACGAAGCAATTCTTTCAGTCTTTTTCTGTGGGCCAGCATGACGTTGTGCCTGAGCCATGGCTCCTTGCCCCACTTGGGGACGGGCATCACGGAGGGACAGCGAGGACAAGTCCTTGCCCTCCTGGCTGCAAGGAGCTGTCACTCAGTGCTTTCACAGAGCCTCACTGGGAGCTGGAAGGTTTCTGGGTGACTTGGAGAAGCTCCTGGGAATTTTTAAATTCCTTCAAGGAAAGGAGGAAGGGTGCTGAATATTTAGGAACTTTTTTCCAAGTGTTAAGTTGGCACTAAAAGCCAAAGCTTTCAAGGCAAGTTGAATTAAAAGCACTTCTCGTGCAATGCAACCAGGTCTCAAACTCAGGGTTTGTGTGATGTTTCAGTTCTCTGCATAAAAAAACTAGGGTAGACAAGGCCTCGGATTCTGCTGTTGGGGGAAAAAATGCAAAAGGCAAGCTAAGGTTTAAAAAATAATTATCTAGAACATGGAATAACATTTGTGGCCTCCTTTCATGCCACAGAGCCACCAGACGGCGGGATGTGCCAGCCATGCACCTCTTCCACATCACCCTCAAATTGCGGTGCAGGGAGTGAGGTCTCTTAGTATTGCTTGGGATTATTGGGGTGCACTCTTGGGAAGCCCTATCCAAACGAGGGGGCCACCCGACGAGCAAAGCAGTGTTTCCCCTGCTCTCGAAGCCGGGTTGTCCCTGTCAGCCAGCGCCTGACTCCATCCTGCTCGCAGTAGGAGGCAAGACCGAGGCATCCCCATCTCCGGGCCCCTGTGGCCACCTCTCCCGCTGGGTTAGCGCTCCGGGAAGGTGCCGGCCTCCGAGCCTGGTGGTGTGTAGATGGTGGTATCTGCCCATCTCAGGCTGGGAGCCTGGGAACCTTTGCTCGCCTGAGTAAATGTGGCAATTTCTGTCCCTCCAGTCTGCTGTGAGAATGTCAGGACTAGCCCTGATTTGCTTCAGTCACAAGAACTGCATTGTCTTAACTTGTGCCAACTCTGTTTCTAATTACATTTTAATCATTTAAAAATGATTAGCAGTTTTTATTGCCTTGTTTGTGGGTAAATTTTCTCACCCCACACATTCTAGCTGCACTCCAATGACAAGTCCTTTTATAGGCAAAAAAGCCCCCTGAACGTCCACATGACTATTTACCTACAGCATATTTTATTCCTTCCTAAATTCTAATACTTTCTGGGTGCCAAGGCTCTTGCATTTTTTGGTGGATCAATTGTGGTATTGTGCTGTAAAATTAAGCAGTTTTTTTTGGCAATCCCAAACAATGTAACTTCCACCGAAATGAAGATACCGCACATGTGTTAAATGTGAAAAGTTTCAGCCCTGAATAGTTGCCTTGAAGCTTTTTGCGGTGAAAAGAATTATGTATTTTCCTCTCTTTGAAAACAAAATTTTTTTTTTTTTTAAACCATGTTTAAACAGTTTGTTTTTTTGTAAAAGGCCCCCTTTTTTTTGTTATCTTTAGTGTGGTTAGTTGCTTTATTGCTAATCTTGGTGGGTAACTGTATATTATTCCCTCTATTGTTCAGCAACACAAGAGAACCTTTGTCATACTCCCAACAGGGCTATTTATATAGCGTGGCACTTCTGAGGGCTTCTTCCTGCCCTGATGTTCTTCCACCTTCTGGGGAAAAGAAAATAGTTCATCTGAGCGGGAGTGCGAGCAGTGGTCGTTCCTGCCAGCTGCCCAAAGCTGGCTGCTGAAATAAAGGCGATGCGCGGGTCCCTGGGATGCCAACTGGAACAAGCTTGGTGTTTTCCAAAGATTGGGTTGCGTGTGGTTGAGGTTTATCAGAAAGTTTATTGAATGGAGAGATGTGCCCAGGTCTAGCCAGGGAGAGCAAACGGGGTGGTCCTCACTGCCTGTCACTTGGTGCCACCATGGGATGGGGTCCCTGCAGCCCTCATCCCACAGGAGCTGCCCAGGCTTCATCCAGCAGGTCCCTGGGGACCAAGGAGGGCTTGGGAAGACCAGGAGCTTCTTGGGGGGGGGGTTGGTGGGTTTTTTTTTTTTTTTTTTTGGAGCCTTGACTTCAGTGCGGAATTTTCTGTCAAGGGATGTCACCAAATAGGAGCTTTCCTTGCTAGATGGGTGTTTCCTCCCTGGGGTGAGCGGGTGGGTGAAAGCCTGAGGCTTTGCTCACCTAGTGACTCGGTCTTGTGGGTTTAGACGGGCTGCTGGGGAGAGCAGGGCTCCGGGCTCC